GTAGCAGAAATTTTGAGTAGTTCAGAGAACCAGCAAATACCACCTCTGACTGGAGATTTTACATTATCCTTCCCCTGCTACACCCAAGCCATGCCCACGGAACTGGTGGTAAAAAAATTGAATCCCACCACTGGACCAAATCTCATATTTTTAATCACTTTGAAGTTTTACTTTTTTATTGCTTCTTTAAGATTGAAAATCCTTTGGAATCACAAATGTACCAGTTGCTGGATGAAATTATCTTCAATTTGCCTAAAAAGAAAGAAAGTCACCATGAGGTCTTTATTTTCTGTACTTTCTTGCAAGATATAGTAAAGAGGTGATTTCAGAGTTGTTTCTGGAAGGTTTTATAAATGCTAAGGCTTTGTGAAATTCACTTAAAGAAAGACATTGAGGTTAATTAGAATGAACCTCTTCTGTAGATAAAAAATCCAACCTGTCATGTTTACATATCATTCATGAAACAAGACTTTGAAGGTCGGTTACCAAAGCCCAAGATGGTTACTTTAAATTGGATGATTGCTTAAAAATTGAAAAAGGGGTTGTGGACTATCCTTTCAAATAAAAATATAAGAGATTTACTGGACTTGCTTCATGGAATTACAAGCGGACTTGAAAAATAATAAGAATTTTGAGAGATGATATGGATTATTCCACAAACTATGATTAAATAAGCAGCGGAAAAGAAGAATTTTTATTTATGGGACTTCAGTATGGTTGGAAGGTAAAAGGAAAAATACAAACTGACTGGGTTTTTTAATTATTATTATTTATTTGTTTATTTATTAATTTTTATGGCATCCATCTCCCCTACAAGGTGACTCTGGGCAGGTTAAATAATGAGTCCTTATTTCTGGTAATGATTAATGTTTATCTGAATTGGATAGTTTGGCAAATGTCTAATAGTGTGATAGATTAATTTTTATCTCTAAATAAGGGGTTATTATTTCTGGTAATGTTTGATAGTTTTGAGATTATTTTTGTTGCAATGCTTAATTGTTAAGAGAGGGATGAAGGGAATTTAGACTAAATTAAAGAAGAAATTATGTTATTAGGTAATGTTATTAATTTTGCTGGATCTTTGCTGATTAATAAGAAAAGCTGAAGATTTAGAGATGGGGTGACATATGAAATGAAGAGGTATTTAGTTGTGTTAAGAGATAGTGATAAATCATTAATGTTGAATATACTTGTTGGGGGATGAAGGGGGAAATTTCTCATATTTTCTTTTTCTTTTTTGTTGGGTACTGCACTTTCTAAATATTTTTTCCTTTTTTATTGTATTTTTTCATTAGGTTTGTTATTTGTTTAGTCTATTTAATAGAAACCTTAATAAAAATGTGCTAAATGATTTGAGAAAAAGGAAAATAATTGTTGAAAAGTAAGCAAACCAAGAAGTCTTGTGTTTCTTTGGAAATTATACATAGGTTTATTCTTTTCATACAAGGCTAGTATTTAAGTTGGTGTCTAAAAAAGGACTTGAACTGTACTTCTAAAATAAATCTCTTAATTCTATCACTGGAAATGTGTCAGACACTGTCCATTAGCAAAATCATAGTTAAATTTGTTAATTTAGTTCAGTGGAATCTTAGTCCTTTGTTCCTGAATCTTGGCATTGGGCTTAACTCTACATTCTACAATATAAAACAACTGCCAGAACTCTAAAACTTTCTCCCTTGAGAAAGGCTGAGAGGCTACTTCAGAAGCTTGGAAGGAATAATTTGCATTCCTCTCGGATGATCACCTAGAGATACTGTTACTCCTTAGAGACAGAATTAGAAAACCTTGAGGGAGAGGGCAATGAAGCACAATTGCAAAGTCAGCCCTTGGCTATATACAGCACAGCAGTTGGTGTCCTTCCTCTTGGCAAAATGAGCACAGAGCTCCTTCATCCACACACTCTATGCTACGTGTTTCAACAGAGCTTGGGAACTGTTCCATACTGAATAGATAAATGTTTTCATTTTGTTTTTTTAACTTTCTCTTGCTTGTTAAATTCTTGCCTAAACTCTGTATTATGGGAGCGAGTAAGTCAGTGTTAACTCCTGGAGACTGCCAGGACTAGCCCCTGAAGTTTTCTCGGCAGAATTTCAGAAGTGGTCTCCTAGGATCGACAGAAAGTAACTGGCCCAAGGACACAACAACTGGCTTATTGCCATAGGTGGGACTAGAAGTCATGGTCACCCAGTTTCTAGCATTGTGCCTTAACCAAGCCAGCTTGTTCTAAATATGCACATGTTTAAATCTGTTATTGTTGTTGCAAGTTCCATTTTAGTTTTTTTACTCTTCATTCAGTCAATTCTTTACCTGCAGCTAATTGTTTTAGCCATTCATAATTATTGATTCATATTGGTTCTTAATAGTACTATGGATGCCTAAATTGTAAAGAACACCTCCTATTATGATTCTTTGACTCTCCTTCTCAAAACTACACAATGTGCTTTGAACTAGAGCTCTGTAAATGATCAGATCCACTGTGGGGGTACCGTGGCTAATATTTTGATTACACAGTGTGAAGGCAAGAGTCACTGGAGAAAATTGTGATATTTGGGGACATTGATGGTATTTTAAAAAGTGGCCAGTGGAAGACAAGGTGGCTACTGATGACACAAGTATGAGCTTGCAAAAACTCAAAGAACTTTCTGACAGACAATCCAGGCAAATTGAAATACATCGAGTCATGAAGAGAGTCAGTCACTAAATGCAATATTATTCCTTCTCAATGCAGTGTTTGCTTTGAGAGCAACGGGAAAGCTTCCGGTGCATAATTTTCAGTACAGTTATTTGCAGCCTGCTAGAGAAATAAATAGGAATTTTGAATTGCTATAGACAGATTAAACATGTTTGCATCTTAGCAATTTATCCACATCTGCTTAAAAATGCAGACTTTGTCCACATCCACAATGTTGTCAGTTACAGATTACCAGGATATTATTTTTCAAACTTGGCAACAAGATACTGGGGTCCACACATCTTAAATTTGGCAAGTTTTGAAAAACATTGCTCTGACTGATCACTAGATTACAGTTAAGAGTACAGACTGATAGCTGAACATTAGTCATTGAGAGTGGAAAGACAGACGTGGTTTTAATTAGATACACTCATCCTTCTTTTCCACTGTTTATTTAATCATAGTTTGTGGAATAATCCACCATTAAATTCATACATTATGCTATGTCAGGTTAGAACTCCAGATTTTGCCCTTCGTTGATCTCTCAGACTACCCGCCACTTTCATTACTCATTCATATGAGTAATTACTCTATTCATGTGACCTTTGGAATGAGCTGTCAAGAGTCAGCTGATGACTGAAAAGATTGCAGTAAGATTTTATTCAGTCTGTGTGTACAGACAAGTCCAATTTTGTCATTTGCATGATGTTTAACTTTTCTTGTTCTTTAAAATGTTTTACACAGGTCCTTGGGAAAGTCAAACACATATCAACTGTGTGGGGAGGGTGGTGTTTAATGAGCAGAATTTAGTGGTTTGAAGGAAAGATGTTTTAAAGATGTTTATTTACAATTTGGATGAGTTGTGATTGATTGATTGATTCATTCATTCATTCATATGTTTCATCAATTTGGTGCAGACTCTTAGCCACCACCACACTGACAGACTTTCTCCAGGGTGTTCTGTCCCTAACCTGATCTTTCAGGATTTTCAAGAATCCATTTATTGCATCCGTAACTGAGCCCATCAATCTTGCTTCTTCTCTTCCCTTCTACCTTTCCAGCATTAGAGCCTTCTTCGGAAAACTAGGCCTTCACATAATAGTGTATGTAGGATAATCTGAGCCTGGGATGAATTCTTTGTTGACTATATTCCAACTTATAAAGAGATATAAAAAATTGTATATACATTTACATTTTAATACCTTTATTATTATGTAAATATAATGCTGGATTTGTGAAATCTGTATAAATGATTTTCAGCATAAGGTATCAAATGAACCTATGGGTGGCTATGGATTCAGAAATATGCTGGATCTAGCAGTTATTTCTCCAGCAGCAAAAAATAAGGTTCAGGTTCCTTTTCTGAATAAAAAGAAGGTGATTAATCAAAGCTTAAAGACTCACCTACTCAGGAAAAGAAGAGGAAATGTCTCTGGAACTGGAAATGAGAAAAGATAAATAGGAGGTTGTTAAATGGCTGTCAAATCAGAGATAAAAGGAAGACTGTTCTTGAATGAGAGCTAGTTTGCTTTACAGATAAGAAAAAATATCTCCAGTCTTTTCTGGAATAATAGATAGCCTATTTGCTGCTTGTATAGATTGGACTTGGTTATGTCAGCCAATAACACCCGACACTGAATAAAAAAGAAGAGCTTTTGGCTTTTAGATCAAACATTACTGTCAAGCCTGTGTGCTGAATATGTGAAGAATAAGAACAGATGGAAGAATCATGGACTGGCGAAAGAAAGACACTGTGGCTAAACCAAAACAGGCTTTCCTTATACGTCTACTTTTATTTTTAAACACTCCCTCTAACTCTTCGCTGGATCAACACTTTCTTCTTGCAAAGGAAAGAAATAGAGGAGGAGTAAAGGAGAGAGGTGGGGCATGATGTGAAGAAAATGAGGGGCGGGGAGGGGGAAGGAGGAGAGAAACCTGTGATCATTTCCCAATCCTTAAAGCCAACATTCCATCTGGAAATTCAATCCTACTCACAATGACACAGAGACATGAAAAATAAGATTAACAGCAGCAAAACTGACATTCCGGAATAAAACAGGTGTCAGTCAAAGTTCCAGGGAGATTGGAACTGTTTTTGTCATATTCCCCCTCTATTGCAAAAATGCACAGGAGTTTTTCCCCCCTTTTTAAAGGGCACTGAAGTTCCCTTGAATCTCACGAAGCTGTGACCCTCTTATCTTCCATTTATAGCCTGTCTCGGAATGACATCCCCCTTGACTAGCAAGCTGTCCAATCCAGCTGCAAGTGTCAAGATTGTATTAGGCACTAAGTGAAATATATATATGCCCTTATGGTGCTTAACACGCTGGGTCTACCTCCAAGTCATTGGGCTGGAGTCATCCTGACCACTCACTGCTCCTCACCCAGGAATCTCTTCCAGGCTTTTGGGGTGGGACCTTTTTTTTAATTTAAAAAAGAAAAGGAAAGAAAATGGCACCAAAGAAAGACGTTAAGAAACCAGCTGCCGCCGCAGCTGCTCCTGCTCCAGCTCCTGCACCAACCCCTGCCCCAGCACCAGCACCAGCACCACCTAAAGAAAAAGCAATTGATCTCTCCACCATCAAGGTAAACAGATCGACTTGGGTGGTCACTGAAAAGCATCCTCCATCAAAGAGCAAAGAGAATTACATCAACCCAAATTCAGATCTGGGAGATGTTTATCTATTGCTTGTGATCATTGCTATCATTGCAGGGAACTTATTTAGCAGCGGAAAGGACCCTTCCTCCCTCTCTTTTGCAGGAACACACACACACACACACACACACACACAAACACCGCGAAAATATTTTGATTTGTCTTGTTTTGTAAGCTACAACAAAATGCCATATTTCACTAGCTTACCTAAGTGTACAGAAAAACTATCTTAGTAGCCAATTACAGTACTGTTTTTAACAAATACTGATGTTTAAACCATTTCAATTTGGCCTCTGCTTTACTCTTTTCCTTAGTTAAATATGCATGAGCCTACATGGTGGAATAAAACTTATGTTACCAAGAAAATTCACTGGCTTTTTTAATCAATAAAATTATATCTAATGAATATTTATTGTTCATAAAATTCATCCAGAACTCATTTTATATACAATAGTGAGCAACTTATAATTCATTATTTCTGGAGATATTTAATGTTTTTCCATAAGAAAAAATAGCAACCCAATTGAATACTTTTCATAGTTAAATTGGGAGAAATGTGGATGCTCATATGGATGTACAGTGAAATGTTTCAGTGACTACAACTTTTACCTTTGTTCACAATTTGCATCTTGCTTTGAAGTGGTTAATTAATATTTCTGTGTGGTTTCTGTGTTTTCAAGGATAGCATGAACTACCTTTGGGATTTTGCATGGTGAAATAAATCTTTATACAGCGTAGTTATTATCTGATGTATCACAGTCTAGCATGTCTTGCAATGTTTGGCGAGCAAGAAGGTCTATCTTTGGAATGGAGCCAGAGAGAGCCTAGCTGGATAGATTCCTTGAGTGACCCTAAGTCCAGAGTCATTCTCCACTGACTGGCATTTTGATTTTATCAGACTCCAATTTAGGACACTCTACCTAAGAAATCTTACCTAATATGGAAACCTGTAGATTGGGAAATGATGGAAAGGGTAACAAGAATTTTCTTAGGTTCTCATATGAACCTTCCTATCTGTCTAATAAATTCTAGCACATTGAAATGGATAGTTATGTTTTATAATTACATTCCTATGTGTTTACCTGAAAATAAACATTAATAGATGTCATGATTAATATTGCAATCTTAAATACGAATTAATTTTTCCAAAAGGTTTTCAGACGTAATGATTTATAGTTCACTGAAGAAACTCATACTAGAGCCACTGGATATTTTAAAAAGGAAAATGCTAAAATTGAACTGAAAAAATACAACTGGCCCAACTAAGGCATTTTTTCTTTATTTAAAATTGGATTCGCTCTTGCATACTGGATTATAAAGAAGAATGCAGACTTGGTCTCTTACAAAAGTAATTTACATTAGTTTAATAGCTTATGTGTTAATGCGTTAGAATGAAATAGAATTTTCAATTTAGCTTTACACAAACATCACTAATAGTATATTTATCATCTGAAAAAAATGGAATGCTATAATTTCAGTCATGCTGTACCCCACAGAACTTTTCTGTTAGATTGGACAGTATATTTCTAATTGGGGTGAATTTTTCTAGGGGCATAGGTGAATACACAGTGATGGGAACAAGAAAGATTTATCTTCTACCAAATTACATTGCATGAGCATGCACACATGCTTATAAAAACCACGTTCTTATTTATGTTGAGGGAGGGTACCTGGATCAAAACAAACTAAGCAAACATTTATACTACAATGTGATATTTGTACATTGTTTCAAGTGCTGGAAATACTTTGTGAACATTCTCTCAGGAATATGACAACTCTGTAAATAAGAAATTGCTATTACCTTTCTGTTTTATATGTACAAGGAGGAGTGGTGCTGAGACAGGAAGAAAATTACTTACCTAAAGCAAAAGTCCATGTGATCTAAATTTTCAATCCCATGTACAAAACAAAAAGCCTATATAAACTATGAACACTCTTCTTCTTAAAGAGTCAGGCTTAAATATACAAATAGATAATTAGCTTCCAATAAAACTAGATGTGAAAAATATGGATTTTTCATTTACAGGTAAAATGAATTCATACTATAGTTCTTTGGAAACAAGTCAGGATGGTTTCCAGCATATCCTGTTCATGCATCACAGCCCAAAGTATTTCTCCATATATATTTTTACTTAAGTAGTTCATATCCTATCCTCACAATACCTCTATGAGTTAGTTGAGTAATCTTATCCCTGAAACTGAAAATTCAATCTACTCACTGGGCCAAGGTCACCTCCTGAGATGACTGTAATTCCAAGGATTAGATCTGAGGACTGCTTTCAAATCCAAGAACCAACCATCTCAAATGAATAAAATGCTTGTCACTTTCATTACTTACATTACTCAGAGCATTACTACAAGTAAAGGGTTTGGCTGAGGTTAAATCAGATGAGGAGAATTCGAGGGACCTTTCCATTCAGACTAAATGTGGTCAGACTAAAGTCACCATCTCATTCTCATAGATCTTAGTTTTGAAAGCTGAGAATATAGCTTTTGTGAGAGGTTCACGCTTGATAGGATGGATCTAACTGAACCTTTACACTATTTTATTCTGCTTCTGCAGCTTTCCTGTAGGTAAGTGACCCTCATGTTTCTTAGATATTATATTACATTTAAATGTAAAGGAAAACATCCTATTGGTAATATTTGTACAACAGAATAGTATATTTACTAACAGAATGGTATACAGTCTCTAACCTGAGCATGGGGTTAGACTAGAAGATCTGCAAGATCCCTTCCAACTGTTATTCTGTTTTTGGTAGTGGTTTGCTCTCCAAGCTTGTTTCTTTTATTTCTGTTATTCTGCTTTGTATTCTACTTACAGAAGTTATGAGTTCTGCATCTTTGGTGGTTTTCCTATACATTGCAGAGGGTTGGGTTAGGTGATCCTTGTGGTCCCTGCCAACTCTATATAAATAGTTAATGTTATTTCACTAGAAATTGTAATTATTAATTTCTAGCTCACATTTTTAAAGAATAAACAGATATAATAAAATGTTACATGAGCGGAAGAAAATATTTCAAATAGTTTAAATTATTTTCATTTTTATATGGAATACTTAGTACCTTCTTATATTTGAATTTCATTTCCATCGAACAGGCATTTTGTTGCTTGCAAGTTTTTTTTCTGAATGGGGCTAGTTTCTAGTACCACTTGCTGGATAAAATTGAGGACTATTTCATATTACACATTTTTCTGACCTTAAACATCAGGAATGTTTAATTATATGTCTATGGAGATGCTTTCAAGGATACTCTACAATGGTGATAATGAATACATCCAAAAATCAAGCAGAACTGAGATGCAGCTCAGTTCAGTACTTTTCCTTGTTATTTTTCAAACGTGACATCGATCAATTCTCTTTAAAAGATCCATATAAGAAGTAGGACCACCAGAACTGGGCTCCCAAAATTCACATGTCAGCAGAGGGATACACTAACCCTTTGGTGTCAACAGTAGATACCCATGAGTTCTCTGAACAGGAATCTTTCCTGATTATTGTTTAGATATGAGCCTTTCTTGGGTTTATGTGGAGGAACTAAATCAAGAACCTTCGAAACAAAATATATGACACAGGTTCTGTCCTGAAAATAGCCTTTTATTTCATCTTAGAAACCTTGGAGCAATTCTGCAGAATGTAGCAATAGAGTTTGTGGGGAATGGCTTTGGCAGTGAGCTGGGAGAAAAAGCTAGAATCTAGCTTTCTGGCCTCTCACTTTATTAATAAGTAACATAGTACAGTGTTTGCACTGCTTGAATATTATACCAATAACACTTAGATATCGCTTCACAATGCTTTACAGCCCTCTCTAAGTAGTTTACAGAGTCAGCATATTGCCCCCAACAATCTGGGTCCTCATTTTATCAGCCTCAGAAGGATGGAAGGCTGAATCAACCTGCAGCTGGTGAGAATCGAACTGCCAATTGGCAGCCATCAGTCAGCAGAAGTAGCCTGCAGTACTGCATTCTAACCACTGCACCACCACGGCTCTTATTATTATATACCACTAATACCCTTAAAATATAGTATTCCTTGACTTAAGACAGATCACTTAGTAACTATTCAAAATTACAATGGATCTCCCTAAAGGTAAATACGACCTAGATTCAAAGTTTTGATGGCTGCGGCCCATAGTCACATGGTTGCATTTTGAGTGCTTGGCAACTGGCTCACATTTATGGCCATTTGCAGCCTTCCTTAGTCATGCCATTGCAATTTACCAACATTTATTTCCAATTTCAGACAAAAAAATACCCATTGGGTATAATGTGTTGACTTAATGACTGCCACGTTTGCTTAATGATCATGCACAGAAGGTTATGAAATCAGGTGCAATCATGCAATGACCCTCTTAACAACTCCACAACTTATAACTCTGGGCTTAGTTATAGTTGTAAGTCAAGGGCTACCAATATTCCTGGTTCTTCAGATTTTATGAATAATTGTTCATGTGATGATGATGATCTTCATCATCAACATCTGTTAGAGTATATAACAAGTCTACTGCTCCCTTTATTTCTGATCATCCAGGAAACCTGAGCAAATTAAATAGGTTTAAATTTGAGAAATCAGTATGCTATGTCTAGTCTCACACTTTCCTTACAATTGGTGAAGCTGGACTTTTGACAATCTATTTTGAACAGCTTTATCAAAAAACTATTTAAATCCTAAAACAATATTTGACATCAATTGTGGATTAACTCAGGGTTTTTCAAACAATCAGAAGCAACTTAGAAGTTGGTTGAGAATTTTTCATCTGCTTCTCACATTGTGTTTTTTAACACAGTTGAAGTAGCTCTAATCCCTAATTTCTGCAACAAGTGACATCTATTGATTAGGGTTCAAACTAATTTAATATTGGTAATCCATTGACACCAATTACTATGAATTGTACTCAGCCATTCTTGGAAATATTATTTTGCCTCTGGCATTTCTGCCAGCAATTGTGACTGTGTGCTAAAATACATCCATATTTACTAGAGAGTTGGTAGAAGTGTGTATGTTAATGAAGCTCAGTGTCCTATTCTTTTTATTTTATAATAAATTCTATAATTGTTTTATTTAATATATAGTTTCAAATTTAATTATTACACTCTAGAACAGAGGTGCTTAGATCTGGTCCACAGGGCTGCCCTGGAAAGAACAAAGGAGCAGTCCGCAGAGCCTCTGCCAGTGAAAAGGGAGCCCAGGAGGACCACATGTGGCCTTTCTGGGCTCCGTTTTTGGGCACAATGGTTTCCTGCAGCCCTCTGCCAGTGAAAATGGAGCTGGGGGTGGGGTGCATGTGGACTCCCCAATCTCTGTTTTTGCTGGCAGAGGGCTAGCAAAATAAACTAAAAACAAAACAAAAGGAGAAATGTTTCCCCTTTTGCATTTGAGCATGCAAGAAGGGACAGGAAAGGATTTGTGCCCACTTCGAAAAACAGCTAGCATTGATCTGGATGCACAAAAAGTCTTTGATAATATGAGCTGGCAGTTTATGATATTACAACTGAAAGACATGGACTTTGGTGAAAACTTTGTAAATATGATTCAAGCAATATACTCCACTCAAATGGTGAAAGTGATAGTAACCAGAGAAATAACAGAAAACTTTAACATAAACAAGGGCACAAGACAAGGATGTCCCTCTTCTATTCATACTAACCCTGGAAGTCTTGCTTAGACAGATCAGACAAGAGCCAGAAATAAAAGGTTTGGAGATTAAAAAAAGAACACTACAAAGTACAAGCATTCACAGATGACTTAGTATTTATCTTGGAGGAGCCTCTAAAAATGGGACTCAAATTAATAAAGAAAATAGAAGAGTTCGGCGAGGTGGCAGGACTTAAAATGAACAAGAAAAAGACCAAGATATTGACAAAGAATCTTACAAGCAAACAGAAAAATGGACTGATGGAAAAGATGGACATGCAGACAACTAAAAAAGTTAAGTACCTAGGAATTTGGCTAACAGCAAGATGCACATCCATTAAAGAAGACAACTACACTAAATTAATACATCAAATAAAGACAGATTTGGAAAAATTGAGAAATCTACAGCTGTCGCTGGTCAGAAGGATAACCACAACAAAAATGAATATCCTACTGAAATTGCTTCTCTTTATTTCAAGCATTCCCAATAAAGCTAGGGGAAAAAAATTTTGAGGACTTAAATAAATTGATTTCAAAGTTCATCTGGCAAGGTAAAAAACCAAGAATCAAATTGAAAATGTTAAAAGACATGAAAAACAAGGTCAGATTTGGGCTACCGGACTGGAAGCTGTATTATCAGGCCTCAGTGTTCATATGGATGAAAGAGTGGATAAATTTGAAGAACAAAAGAATATTGACATTAGAAGGACATGATTTACAATTGTAGTGGCATGCATTTGTATGGTACAGTAAAAGTAAATTACATAGTTACTTCCAAAGGCACTACATCAGGAATGCTCTCTTGTCAGCATGGGAAAAAATTAAACAGTCATTATATGAAAATACCAGTCTGGTTATCCATGATAGAAATGCTAATATACCCTAGTGCTTTAGAACTGGATAAAATTGTAAGATATAAAGATATCCTAAATGAACAAGGGAACTAAAAAAAATCAGGGAATAGACTTGGCCTGGGGGTCACATATTCAAATACAAACATAAAATATAAGAAAGATGCAGAAATATGTGGATTTTATAAGGAACCCCTAGAATTGAACCAGATATTGTTAGGGACAGATGACATAAAGAAAATTTATAATTACTTATTGAACTTTAAAATGGAAGAAGAAAATGTAAAAGAAACCATGATAGTATGGGCTAAAAATTTTGGATAGAGCATAGAATTAGACAATTGGCAAAAACTGTGGGAAAGAAATTACAAATTAACGATGTCAACAGTATACAAGGTAAATCTTTACAAAATGTTCTTTAGATCAGGGATCCCCAACCTTTTCGACGCCGCGGCCCGGTTCCGGCATCAGCTGGGCGCCGCGGCCCGGTACCGCCGTCAACTGGGCGCCGCCATCTTTTTATGACGAAAAGGCGCTTCCGGTGACGTCACCGGAAGCGCTGTTTCGTCAAAAAAAGATGGCGGCGCCCAGCAACCAGCGGCCCGGTAAGGCTTGTTCCGCGGCCCGGTACTGGTCCGCGGACCGGCGGTTGGGGACCCCTGCTTTAGATGGCATTTGCCACCAGCGAGAATGGCAAAATTGTTCCAAAACATATCACCAGAGTGCTAGAAATGTAAACCGGTACTGGGATCCTACTACCATATGTGGTAGACCTGTCCAATGGCAAAAAAATACAGGTTTAAAAAGGTGGTTATAAGAAATCATAGCACAACAAATCGATTTAAAACCAGAATTGTTCTTACTGAGTATACTACTGGGGAAATACAGCAAAAGAATTATATACTTAATGCCACATGTAATAAAAGCAGCAAGAATCACATATGCACAAAATTGGAAAAATGAAAGTATATCTATAGATGAAAAGGTAATACAGAAAATATTAGAATGCACCAAAATGGACAGATTAACGATGGAAATTAAGGATAAAGAGGAAACAGAGTATTATTCAACATGGGACTTATGGTACAAATGGTTAGAAAAACAGATGCAGAAGTCAGTAATTTTATAATAAAAGAAGATTAACAAAATAGAAGTAAATACATGTATATAGATATAGATAAATATACACACTATAAGTAATATCACCACTAGATTGTACTTGACTATAGATCAATATGTATAGAGTGACTAGAGGTGAAGACTATACAGTATAACTATGAGAATAATGGTTATAATTATGGCATACAATACTATGTATATTATGTATATCCAAAAAGATTACATTGTATATTTATGAGAATAATGGTTAAAACTAGGGTGTATAATTTTATGTATATTCAAAAAAGACGTGATACAGACAGTACACAGTCATTGCAGAAATGGAAATATGATGTATGATAAAGGAAAATATACATTAAAAAATAATATATATATTTTTAAAAGCCAAAAAGCATCTTTATAGCGATTATATAATATTAAGACTCATAAAGACTCATAGAGAAAAACTCATTTTTTACTCCAGAATCAATATAAATAATTAAATAGTTGATTTTAGGTGCCATCTTTTCCTGAACTTTGCCTTCTCTTCTCCAGAATTCAGAAATAATTTTTAATATACCCAGGTTGCTATAAGGATATCTGATCTGAGACTAATAACAGGTAACAATTCAAACATCCTGTTGAATCCATGAAGTAGCTTGATAGTTTTGAAAGATATTCAAAGTGAATTAACACTAAGTTACAGATACTTCACTTGGGAATTGAGATATGCTTTGCTAACAGAGCCAGCAGGAAATCTGAAAGTTCAGATTTCAGCATTCAGTTCAGCTGTGAACTTATCAGAACCCTTTGAGCAAACTACTGTATGTCACTCAATTTCCTTGGTGGGATAAAGCAGGATGCAAATGCCCACACATCAAAAGTCTTGGAAGCTCAGAATTCTTTATTGTTGGCAGCACCTAAAACAGTGTTCTGTATTTCCTATTTTGAATTTGAGGGTATAGTTTTCAATGCAAAGAGTCCATGAATAGCCTTTGAAAAATTGGTGGTTCAAATTAAATTGATTGCTTTACAGGAAATAATGTGATTAATGCATAGGCATATGTGTGTTTATGTATACAATTAAATATTTAGCAATAGCAATAGCACTTAGGCTTATATACCACTTCACAGTGCTTTACAGCCCTCTCTAAGCAGTTTACAGAGTCAGCATATTGCCCCCAGCAATCTGGGTCCTCATTTTACCAACCTTGGAAGGATGGAAGGCTAAGTAAATCTTAAGTCAGTCAGGCCAAAACTCCTGGCTGTGGGGCAGAATTAGCCTGCAATATTGCATTCTAACCATTGCACCACGAAATACATTTAGACTCTGTCTGTAAGCATCTGTTACTTTTCAACTTTTCAAGCAAGAATCAACAGTAAGAAGAACATAGAACATACAGGTCCCCCCTTCCCCCCAAATAGGTACATAATAGAGGGGGGAAATGCAACAGGATCTCAGCACCCTACCCTTTCCCAAGGCCTGGGAGAATAGCCAGGTTTCAGTGATTTTTCTGAACTTCATAGGGATGAAGCCATATGGACCACTGTTGGATGCTTTTCCAGAAAGCAGGTATAATAACATAGAAAGTACACTTTCTAAGTCCTGATACATGAGATTACTTAACTTACTTAACATAGAAAGTACACTTTCTAAGTCCTGATAGATGAGATTACTTTGGGTTATTGTGTTAGATGGCATTTGTCCCTTGGAACATATGTATAAAATTACTGTGAGATCTATTTTTAAAATAAGCATGCCATGCATAGTTGAACACCATAAAACGAAGAAGTTATCTTTGAAGGGCATTTTTCTCCTACAGCACTTTAGATAAAATAACATCTATGTGAGAACTCACAATTAAATCTCTAAGTCAGCTGTTCCAATCCAGCAGCCTTCACATATATTGGCCTACAATTCATTGATTTCAGCTAATGGTGGTTTGCCTGTAGAATATGGACATTATAGTCTAATATCAGAAAGCACTGTGACAGCAGAAGGCTGTTCTTGATTAATGTTAGCACAATTTTAAGTAATCTTCCTTAAACTCATGTCCATCATATAAACTGGGACAACTTGGTTAGAAAAGACTCTTCTAAAGCAAACACTGCATTAGCTTTTGCATGGTATTTGATAATGTATATGGGTTGAAGCAGAATAATATTTATGCATGCGATTGTACCAATGGATCTTTGCTTATTTTGATCATTTTCTTAACTGTTGCATTTATGACTCAGTCAGGTCATTGCTGAATGAATAGCAAATGGCATAAGGAGAGAAGGTAAGGAAATAAATTGCACTGACGGACAATTCATAATAGCGAAGAAGAGGAAAAAGGTTAGTCTAACAACAAAACAATATTTTAAGTCCTGAAAATACAATCATGCTAAGATATATGATAAGATACTCAGGTAACTAGAAGAGAGTCTTCCAGAATATATAGTAATATATGAGTATTGATTCTCTGTATTGAACTGATTAATATTTGAATTGTTAATTCATACGGCACTAACACCATAAAATTGCAACATCATTATAGAATATAATATCATATCATTTTGGTGGCATCAACAATCAGACTTTGAACTTTTCTATTAATCTGACAAAAAAAGAATGGAAAGAAACGGAAGCTAACTAACCCGAGTAGCATTTGAGGCTGCCACTTAATCCAAGACTGATCTGAAGATTCAGTAACACTTCTTTAGAATTCAAACCTGATCACAAATTTTAAATAAGCTGTGGGGACTACAGAGCATAACCAGTTTTTCTGTCAAGATGATAACGACAATATGTTTGCATCTCTGATGCTTGACACTAAGGTCCCTAAGAGTCCAGGATGATGTAAACATGTGGAATCCTTTTGTACATAGCATTAGATGGCTATTAGTTTAAGATCTATTTTACTGGTATACAACTATTGCCAGTAAGTAGAACATTCTAGATTTTATTTTTAAGGTGCTACTTGACTGTAGGTTGAGCTACTAAAAATATACAAACAATTAGACGGTAAAATATTTCCATTCATTCCACCAGTATGGATGGCTAGTTGTAGGAAATGTTGGTATTGACAGTGGTAGTGGTCACTCCCCAGAATTATTTTCTTCTGTACAGGGCTTTTTATATTATGAGACCGGTACCTACATAAAAACTCATGCTATATTTTTGTGATTTTAGAAAATCTATTATGATCAAGTCTCCATTTTCAGTGGCAACTGTATGAATGTTCACGTGAGGAAGTTTTGGTCAGAAAAAAGGTGGATCTTTCCTTTTGTAAACTAGCCCAGCTCTTAGTGGCCCAGTACAGGCCAGTAATAATTAGCACCTTCGCAAAATAAAAACCAATCTTTTGGGGAAATTGCATTAGATGCTGCTGCCTCTGTTGCTAACCTTAGAAATAAGGACATACTTAACAGTGAACTTTAAATATGTTCCTAGGTGGAATATTTGACTTTATAACTGAATATTGAATAAAAATATTATTGTTTTAAATAGCACAAAGCACTAGAAATTATATTAACATGTCAAAATTGATAGCCATTATATCATGCTTTCCCTCATCCTCCTTGTAGATTAGAAAGGTCTCTATTAGTTTGGGTACTTTATGTATTATGGAAATCTGGGCAGTGTAGCTAATGCATGGATATGTCATATGAACCTTGCCAACTAGTGTGCCATGCAAATGCAGCCCAAGTTAGCAAGAAATATAGCAACCATAAATAGCAAAGTAGCACAATTGTCTATTCATTTATTGCCTAATAAGCAATTTACTTGAGAAAGAACCGGTGCATCAAGGTTCACTCCCAACTGCTACTGTAAACACAGTGAAAAGAAACACAGCCTTTTTGCTTTAAAGCAACTGATTTCTTGTTACGAATTTCAGAAGTCCTGTTCTTCTGATTAATTTGTTCCTAAGAGTTATCTTTTCAATAATGTTCTCCAACAAGCACTCGCTTTTCCTCTGAGGTTCAAAACTGGACCTGCAGATAGCAAGATCTGCCTGCAATCAGCTGTTATGGCCAGTAGGGGTCAATACAGTCTCCTTTAAAGGCAACTCAGCCTAATATTCCCTGCCGCTTTTGGTGGCATCAGCCATAGAGTGAGCAGGACAAGAGGAATGATGAGTCAAAGCCAATATAATGCCTTTCAATCTACTGAGGCTCAGCCACAGGCCTCTTGCAGTACAGGGAGAGACTCTTTTTTATGGCAGTGACCTGGTTATGGAATGCTCTTTCTTCAGAACCCCTCTCTGCAATGATACCATTTCAAAGCAAAGGAAGTCCAATTGCCTCTTGAAAAAGCATCTATGGGACAACCATGATCTGGATGGCTGAGAATCTCCATAGGCATTTACCATTTCAATAGCATTCAATCCAAAGTCTGTCTGTCTGTCTTTCTTTCTTTCTTTCTTTCTTTCTTTCTTTCTTTCTTTCTTTCTTTCTTTCTTTCTTTCTTTCTT